CAGAGCAAGAGAGCAAGAGATGCAGGGAGACAGAGATGGAGAGGATGACAAGGGAACCCAGGCAGAGCCGGGGAGACTGATGGAGAAAGAGGCATCTCTCCCTTGCTGCCCCTGCCCTGCCCCACACGGCCTGCCCCGGGGGCCACATGTCCTGATGTGGAGCCCTCCCGGGTCCAGTAAGGGTGGGAGGTGAAGACTCTGACTCTGCAGCCAGATGGGCCAGGCTCAGGTCCCCAAGCTGCCATTTCCTGTGGCGTGACCTTAGTTGAGAGACCTCACCTCCCTAAGCCTCAGTGTCCTCATCTGTAAAATGGGGACAATGATGACATGCCTGCCCCACAAGCAGGTGCCCACTGTGCAGACTCAGAAGGAGGGAACTGTAATGGTGACAGCAGCGATGCTGTAAGTCATTGCCCTGTCTCAGCAGAATGAGTGCCTCGGTCATGTGCACCCATCTCTGAATGTCCCTTTCAACCCGGACCATCTCTATTCCGAGTCCTGAAGCCTGTGCAGGCCCATGAGGCTGCCACGAGTCTCCAGGCACAGGGTGGCCACCCAGGCACCTGCTGTCCCCTTTCCTCCTCTTCCTCCCCCTCTTCACAGAGCACCGCCCCCACCACTCCACCCCCGGGTCCCAGTGAGGACTAACAACAAAGAAGACTGGAACCCAGCGCAGCTTGTAATTAAAGGAGGCACCGTGACATACAGCAAATCTAGACTCCCAGGACCGAATCACTCACAGCCCAGAGGGAGCTTACAGAGTGATCACTGAGCGTTTGACACATGAGGAAACTGAGGCCCAGAGAGGGCCAGGGGCTTGTCCACAGTCACAGAGCAGAGCAGAGGCAAAGCTCAGGCAGGATTCCCAGCCTCCTGCCTCCTCCCAGGGCCAGACGTCTCCTGCCGCTGAATTTTCCCACATTTTCGACTTTCTGAATTCAAGATGCATCTTTAAATGAGTTAGTGTATTAAGTACTTGGAGCCATGCCTGGCACGTTGTGCTTGTGCAATAAATATTAGCAGCTTTTATTATCTCATCATCAATGTGCACAGAGCATCTGGAGGTGTTGGGTTTTTATTTTCCACCCGAAGTGTTATTTCTGCGTCACTGATGCTAGGATATACCTTCCCTGTTACTGTTTTTCTTTTTCCTTCACATTTTAACACCTCTGACGTTTGGGGGATCCCACAATTGTAATTGGCAATTTTCTCTCTCTCGGTGACATATAAAAGAGCCTCTTACATCCTGCATCTAACTATGAGAAAATATGGTAGCGCAAACAGCTTCTTTCCCATAAATTCAAATTCTACAAGTGACTCCTGAATCTCCTAGTTGGCACCGGAGGACGATGGGGTCAAGGGGGAGGTGCAAGGAAGGAGTCGCTGTTGTTGGCGGGACGAGGGAGAGAATTCTTTAGCCTGTCCCTGTAGTGATGGGACTCAGCGCCCCACCCCTCCGGTCTCCACACCTGTCCAGGGAAGCGGGGGACCATCCATCCCGGGCTCTGCACAGCTACACGAGTTACTCCAGCCCAACCCAAACACGTCCGCTCCCCTCCATCGGCTCTGCACAGGCTGCTCCCTCCGCCTGAGGCCTCCACTTCCCCTGCTTCTCTTCTACCAGCCTGAACTCGCTCTCCTCCTTCAGGGCTCAGCTAGATGTCATCTCTTCCAGGAAGCCTTCCTTGACTCCTCAGCCCTCCTCCCAGTTTGAGCACGGCTCCTCCTCCATGTTCGCAGAGCCCTTGCTGCCCCCAAGGTGGCACTTATCAACATAGCCGTTGCCTTGGACTTCATTCATTCACTCAAACATCCATTCAGCGTTCCCTGGGTGTCCCCACGAGCCAGGCTCAAGCCAGTCCCTGAGGAGTCGGCAGCGGGCAGCCATCCCGCCTGCCCCGAGGGAACTCATGTCCCACGGACTGTGATTCTTGCCCTCTTTGGGGGCACGGATCCCTTTGGGATTTTGATGAAAGTTGTGGACACAAGAAAGCTGGGATTCAGGGACTGGCAAAGCCCAGGTCCAGGAAACCTGCCCTGGACCGAAAGCTGCTCCCCACCGCCCAAAGCACAGAGTGGCTGGTGGTCGGATGGAAGGAGGGAAGAGCCGACAGGCTGGGTCGTTTCTCCATGACCTTGCTGGTGTAGGGAGGAGGTGAAGGCCCTGGGACCCACAGTGCTTAGTGGGTCTGAGTCCATGGCCTCCACGCTGAGCCCTGTGCCCACCTGGGACAGCCTGACTCAGAATGAAGGCCACCTCCAGGCCACCACATCCCCATCACTGGGGGTCTGCAGGGTCCACAGAGACGGGCCCCACATCATTACCCCCATGGCTTGAGCGCATACTGTGTTCCTGCCGGTGAAAGGTCCAAACAGCCCCCTGCTGTGGTTGGCTTCATTTTGCAGGTGGGAAAACTGAGGCTCAGAGAGAGAAGACCCTTGCCCAAAGGCACACCAGAGGCAAGCAGTCGAGCCAGCGTTTGAACCGGGGCCGGGTGACTCTGGAATCGCCCCTCTGTGCCAAGGCTGCTAGCTGAGCGATCCCACGGCAGTCCTCCCTTCGCCAGAGGTGTGACCAGGGTGTGAGAGACAAAGCCCTGTGCCAGCAGGTAAGTTCCCTCCTGGAGCCCATCGGGAGACACCTTGCCCCGAGCAGCTCTAAGTGACATCCTCCGCTGAAGAGCATTAAGGTCCCCAGCTGGCAAGGCAGAGAGGCCAGCTGCATCCCCTCATCCCACTGCGTCCCCAGGACTCAGCCCACTCGGACACCTGCTTCCACCCAGGCCCTTGGTCCCTGGCGGGAAGGTGAGGGTGCAGAGGAGGGGAGTGGCCGGAGAAAGCTGCAGGGGGTCCCCTGAGGGGCAGGGGGACAATGAAGCCTGGAGATGAAACAGGCCACTCAGCAGAGGAGAATTAGTCTTCAGAGATCACCTTAAACGTGAAGTGCTGGTGGCTTTTATAGGCTGCCGTTGACGTGCCTTGCAGAGAAATCTGCCCAAGATAACAAGGGGGGCTTCAGGCACCAGCAGCCCAGGGCGCGGCGGTGGAGGGGCGCCTACTCGCCAGCCTGTGGCCGGGGCGGGGCGGGGTGCACAGCTGGGGTCTGCAGGAGGCAGGCGGAGGCACGCAGGGCCCCCCGGGGGCAAGGAGCAGGAGATGGTGAAGGCGTCCCAGGTGGTGGGCATGACGGGGAACCAGGAGCCCCGGGTCTGAGACCCACTGCTGGCACTAAACACCTGTGTGAGCTCCCAGCCGGAGGGACCCCAGGTACCGGCCCATGGTCAAAGGCGGCCCAGGAAGCCTGGGCCAAGGAGAGGGCAAGATGGGCTCACGCCAGGGGAGGCGGGAGGCAGGAAGCCCCAGAGCTGCCTCAGTTGAAGGGTGGCATCTGTTCTGGCTGTGTCCTCTGTGTCCCCAGCCTCCAGAAGTGGCCATGGGGTCTGGCGGAGGACTCGAGGGCTCTGGTGGAAGGGACTCATGGCCACGGTGCTCTGTGAGCCAGACCAGCCCAGCCTGCACCCCCTGCCTTCCTCCTTGTTTTCCAAGGGAGCTGGGTAGCCATAGTCCCCTGGGTAGGCTGAGACCACACTCCTTATATCAAAGTAGGAAGAAGAAAGTCTTCCTCCAGGAGGAGGCCAGGCAAGGTTAGATCCAAGTGCAAGCCACTCCCAGCTCCCCATCTCCTAGGAGCACCCCAGCCATAGGCAGGACGGCTGTTCATCATGACAGAAACACACTGTGTGGCCTCGGATGGGGAAACCATGGGTGGGCAGTGTGTGGTCGGGGCCCATGAGGGGCTCTCGGGCACCAGGCTGCGGATGGGCTCATGGATCAGGGGAGGGAGATGGCCCAGCCCAGAGCCCCTGGGGGAGCCTTCCTCACCTCTCCCCAGGGAGCCACATCTGCTCCCATCACCAGCAAATGGCTCCTGACGTGGGCTGAACTCTGATTCCCTGGCCCTGGTGGTGGGGGTGGAAGGGTCCCAGAGACCCCTTAAAGTGACAAGCTGGTTGTTCTGCTCAAAATTCTGGGTCCCAAAGACTTTGGAAGAGTGCTTGCTGGCTTGTCCTACAAGCCCTGAGGACCAGCTCCCCGTCCTGCTGGGGTCTCTTAGTGTAACCCATGCTGAGGGAAGCCTCAGGATCACTGGGGGGCAGGGGGGGATCCGGGGGAGTGGCCAGAGGGCTGCTAAGGGACAAAGAGACAGCGCCTAGGAGCTGCCCGCGTCCGCCCCCTCCCAAAGGCTCCAAGCCTCCTGAGCTCTGTCAATCCCCAGAGACCACTCAGCTCTGTGTCCATTTCAGATGAGGGAGGGTATCCAGATGTTTTCTGTGACGGTCTTGCCCACCCTCCCCAGCTCTGGGCCTCCAGCCCACAGACCCCCAAACCAGGCTCCCTCCACCCCAAATTTGAGCCCTCCTGAGATTCCCACCCACCGATGGCACCCGCTTCACTGACCATCCCCTCCAAAGGCGGGCACCTCCCTGGGCTCCCCTCCCTCAGCCCCACACCCAGCCAGCGCCTGGCTCTGTCCGTTCAGCCTCCTCTAATCCTGCGGCCCCTCCGGCCCCACGGCCCCAGCTCTGCCCTGGTCCAAGCCCCGCCACCTGCCTCCAAATCGCTGTGATGGTCTCCCCGCCGGCCTTCCTGCCACCCCCCAGCCCCACAACCCATTCCCCGCACAGCCACCAAGAGCCCTCCTGATAGCAGAGAGCCCAGGACACTCCCGCTGAGACCCCTCCAGGGCTACAGAGGCCTCAGGAGCAGGTTCCGCTGGTCCTTTCAGCCTCGGGCACCCGCAGGCTCCTGCCCCCCAGCCTCAGCTATTCCTGCCACCCCCACCATGGCTCCTTTCTGTCCCCAACACACCTCAGCCTCCCCAGAGGAAAGACTTGGCAAATGCTGTTCAGTTTAAACATCACCGCCCGGGGAAGTGGTCTCTGCACTCCCACCCCTGGCCGCCTCTGGCCTCCCCATCACAGCCGCACCATTGGGCCGGGTGGTGAGCTCTGTGGGGCAGGGCCGGGGCCTGAGGAGGGGCTTAAGAAAAGACCAGAGAAGGAAGGAGTCCTTGACTTGTAGCCCCTGTGGGTCTGTCCCTCTCTTTCTTCACCCTCCTTCTCTCCCAACCCAGGCACAGTGACCTCCCCCCAACCCCAGGCCACGAGAGGACAGAGGCATGTGTCGTTTTCTTTATCATGCCCATCGTGGTTTGTAATAACACCATGATGTGAGTTTGTTCCTCCCATGAGGCTCTAAGCTCCCAAAGCACAGGTTCACAGCTGCATCTCCTAGCTGAAGCAGGGACCCTATAAATAGTCATTGAGTGAATTAACTGCAGCAGGGTTTAGGTTAGACATCAAGAAGAACTTCCCAATGAGTTTTTTTTTCCCCTTTCTGGAGTGTTCTTAGAAGTTTTGAAAATATTAAGAGACATTACCTGGGGTAGGTCAATCTCCCCATAGAGGGGCTTGACTTGGGGACTGCTCAGAAACAAGCCCCCTCCCAACAGGGGGAGACGGCAACAGGGTGACTTCCTGCCCCATGCTCCGAGGTTAGGAGAATCATGTCTATTTCTAGATCCTTTCATCTGAGCAACTCCAAACTCCTGGCAAATATTCCACCGTCATTGTCTGCCCTAACGGTGTGAGAGCCCCTTCACTCTGCAAGCAGAGAAGGGATGCTGTCACAAAGACGGCACCTTGTCCAAGGTCACCCAGCAAATGAGGAGCTGAAGCCGGACAGGCCCGGGACATAGGCGGCCCGAGGCTGTCCCCAGAAATGGCAACACTTGGATGCAGGCCTTTCAATGGCCGTGGGTGCCGTGAGTGCCCTGGGAACCGCGCACCGCGCGCTGGAGCCCTCTCCTTGGGAATTACATAATGCGGCTGAGCAGGCTGAACGAGAAAGGACAGCCAGCCTCTCGTCCCTGTGTCTTCCCACTGAGGCTCATCAGCCACCCTGGAGGACCCAGGTTCAGGTCCTGGCTGCAGCAGTCTTAGCCTCAGTTTCCTCATCTGTCAAATGGGTTGATCATTCCTGCCACCAACCTCCCAGGTTGGCTGTGACTAAGAAACATGAGATATGGAGATGAGCCCAGCTGGTGCTCAGTGTGTGACACTAGTTTCTTTTCTGGAGGAAGTGCCCTGTTAAAGAACCTCAGCCAGGCCCTTCTGGCAGAACTGGGTGGTCAGATTGCTCTCCCTGGTGGGCAAAGGGGAGATCATGACACTGACAGCCTGTAAAAGGGGACAAGCTACTTTGAGAATCATCCTGCTCAAGGGTGCACAGTGCTTTGCAGTTTGCAAAACACACCAGTATTTCACTCAGCCCTCATAACAGCCCTTGTGAAGTGAGGAGGAAGTGGGGATTGCTGGCCCCATTTTACAGATGGTGAAGCCCAGACTCAGAGAAGGGGAGTAACTTACCCAGAGACACAGAGAGAATGTCAATGGTCAAGAAGAAACTAGAAGCAGAAGAGGAGAGAAGGCCAGGCCCAAAGAAATAGGCCCAGAAGGAACCAGGGCAGGCAAGTCTCTCTCTTTCGACAGTGGGCACAGGGAAGGCCTTGCCTCTTATCTGAAACTTCAGACAAGCCTGGAGATGGCACAGGATGGCCTCCCTACTTGCTGGGTCACCAAAGGAGTAGGGCGGGGAGGCCCCCAGGGCCACAAGCCCCAGGCAGCCTCTGATGCCAAAGGGCAGATAGCTGGGCTCTGGCCTGGCAGCAGCTGGAACACACATCCCAAGAAGCAGCAGAGAGGCCAGGGCTGGCCCAGGAGGCCTTAAAACCACATTTCAAACAGATCCCTAAGCCATTTTCCTCGAGACACAGCAGCACTTGCTGGCTCCTCTCCCATGGCTCCTCCTGGCCAGGCTTCATGCAGTTCAATTCAGCAAATATCCCTCAGCTCCCAACCTGAGCTGCATGGAAAGACAGGACCCTGGACCCAGGGGAAGACCCCAGGATGGGGGCCCAGAAGGAGCTTATGTCCAAAGGGAGCTCCTGATGGAGGTAGGAACAAGGCAGGAAGAGAAAGGCAGCTGAGCAGCACAGGCTAAATGTTGCTGGGACTTCAAAGCACAGCCACTAGGCATCAGGGAAGGCTTCCTGGAGGAGGTGGCATTTGAGTAGGTTTTGAACTATATATATGTAGGATTTCCTTGAGAGAAGCAGGGTGTATGTGTGTGTGTTTGGGGAGCTTGTTGGAGCCAACAAGATGAGACAGCAAAGGTTTGGAAATGGGCAGTCTGGGTGTAGGACCGGATGTTTGCTAATGACAAGCAGTCAGTACCTGTAAGGGGCTAATGGGAAAGGAGAACGGGCCAGGCTGGGGATGGCTTGAACAACAAGGCTAGGAGGTAAGACTGCTCTTGTTAAGCCGGGAGAAAGTCAGATCCCAGCTGGAGAGGACTTTTTGTTTGGGGATGGCTTGGGTGTGGACCTGATTTAGCAGAGGAACCAACCACTCTGGGAGTCATTGGGAGAGGCTTAGGGGTCAAACCTGGCTTTGAATCCTTGCTTTCCTGCTAGCATGCTGCATGACTTGGGTGCATGCCTCGATCTCTCTGAGCCACCATCTCCCTGGGATGTGGGCAGGTGCATCCCTGCCTAGCCCTCAGGCTGCTGCGGAAAGTGAGGCTGTGCAGACGGTTGGGAAAGGGCTTTGCAAACTGTGAAGGCACTCCACAGCAGTGTCACTCCAGACAGAACACGCAGCCTGAAGCTCCTGAGAGTGAGGGGCCGCCAAGGCCTGCCCCTGCCATCCCCCCTCCTGCCGCTGCAAACAAGAACTGTTCCTTCCCCAATGACATCTGTCTGGGAGCAATTTGAAATTTAAAACGGGCAGCCCCATTATTTCCTCTCTGTGGCAAGTGAACCTCCTCATTTCGCCTGCTGGCCCTAGTCCCTTGGCAGCCCAGCCTGGGGCCGCCCTAGGGCTGCCCCTCCACTCAGCTTCCCATCTCCAGCCCCATCTCTGGCCAGCCCTGGAGCTCTGCCCTCAACCCCCTTCCAGTGCACAGCCCTGGGCACCCTCCACTGCCCCTGAAGAGGTAGCAGGAAGGATGGAATGAACAGACCTGGTGCCCAAGGACCCAGGTTCAAATCCCAGCAGAGCTGCATGGCATCCGGCAGGAGCAACCCCCTTTGAGCCTTGCTTTCCTGGTGTTAAAGCTGGAGAACCATAATATCCAGTGTTCTTTCATGAGGCACATATTTATTGATCCTCTGCTGCATGGGGGTGGGGTAGGCTTGCTAAAGTGTGAAGATTCAGAGGGGATGGGGCGAGGGTCTCATGCCAGGCACCTGGCATAGGGTGGTAAGTGGTTCAGATGCCCATTGTAGAGGTGAGGCAACAGAGACGCACACTAAAGGGATGGTCACACTATAAACTCTATAGGTCCTCTACTTAATCTGCGCACGCGTGCCCCTGAGTCCGTTGGAGGAGCAAGGGGGCTCCGCAGCCAGAACCCCAAGTTCAAGCCTCCTACGGAGGAGGAGAGGAGGGTACCCGCCCCGCCCGGGGCCTCTCGGGTACGCCCAAAACTCCAGGCCACCCCTCCGGTCGGAGCGGACACCGCCTCGCCCACCGCCTCGCCCACTGTACGGGCCCTACGTCCCCAAGCCCCGGGCCCGCGCGTACCTGCGGCTTATCGCGCGGCCGGTCCTCAAGTTGGGAAGCGCCGCCCATGGTCTTCCACCGGTCGTTGACCATCTTCCGGCAGGCTGGCGGG